TACTGGATTGACTACTGTGTATTATAGTTTTTTTTTTCGTCGTAACGTATCATTGTGGCTTCAAGGTGATAATCCCAAAATACTTAAGAGATACTGTAACACCCCGCTCACCACCATGCTAAATTGTATTTAGAGAACCCCTATTTATTTGGATTTTAAGTCCACCTGAACTCATTTAATTTTATTTCGCACCCTTATATCGTAATTCTTAATTTTAATATTATGCTGATTTTGTCATTTTATTTTAATTTTTATATGTTATTATTTTTATTTAATTTAATTTAATTTATTTTATTTTGATTTATTATTATTATTATTGTTATTTTTAAATAATTAATTTTTAGGAGAAAATGAAAAAAGGAAAAAAATCCTGTAGGAAAACACCTGCGAGAGAATGTCGCTCGTGTGGGTGCCGCACGCTGTGCACGAGCGTGTGTGCGTGATCAGGCGCAGGACGTGCGCACATGCGCACGTCCCATCACCGCGAGGCGCAAGGTCAGTCCTACGTGCGACAGGGTAATCGGTGCCTGCAGCATGCACCGGCCGGGTGAGGCACATTGTTGCCTCGGGCAGTGTGTCGCCACCTTCTTTGGGTGATGTGCCGCTGCCAGTGGAGGAAAATATTTTCCTCCATTTTTTTTGCTGCGTCAAATCATCATTTTTCATTCAACACACTCTCTCTTCACTGGATTTTGTCACTTGGTGCAAATCTGACGGTCCCCAATTTCTATAAATAGGGACCCTTCCTTTAATTTTCTTAACACTTCTATTTCATTCTTCCACCTTCTAAGAGTTTAGAGAGATAAAGAGAGTGAGCTAGAGAGAGAAGGAGCGGAGGAGAAGAAGAACAGTGTAGAAAAACTTTGAGATTCTGGTAAGAAATTTAGTATTTATTTAAACGTTTTAAGAAGTATTGCTATAAAAATTAAAGCAATGAATCTGTAATTTTGTGTAGTTTGCATGTTCTATGTTTAATAGTTTTAATAAAGTGAATTATTCTTGATTTCATGCATGCTATGTGATTTATAGACACTTGATGATTTGCATGTAAATAAAATAATATGAAACCAGTGATGTTATCTGGAAAATAAAAAAAAAGGAAGTAGAATGAAGCCTGAATAGTTCGAAGTATGTATGTATATGTAATGACATACATAATGCATCAAGTGTCGTGTTAGGTTTTTAATCTCTAAGGGGTATCTGTTTTTTCCTCCTCCCTCTGATTTAGAAAGATGTAAGAGGACTGCTCCCTGCGGATGACGGTGGACCATCTGATAAGAGCAGTGACGTGAATATCTGTTAGGGGTCACCTTTGGTTAAGTATTGTCATGGCTATAGAATATCTAATAGGACCATTATGGTCGGTACGACCGTGGTCATAGTCGTACAATAGTTTGGCAAGGCTGAAATGTGCCTGAGCAAATTGTCATTATCTGTATCTGATCTGCTCATTCCTATTGGCTAGTCGGAAATCCATATATGCGTTCAGAGATGGAAATCAGAATGACAATGTAAAGTATGACATGAAAATATGAACATTTCATAATTTATTTGATATTCTCTGTTGTTAAGTATGATTTTTAATTTTCATTGTGGTGATTATGACATGATGTTTTCTTAATAAATAAATTATTTTCATAAGGTAGGATAAGACTCTAGCATGACCTAACGGTAAGTATTTATGATATAATTATTTATTTTTTAAATTTTACGACATTATTTAAATATTATTTTCCTTACTGAGTATATGGAACTCACTCTTTCTATGCTCCCCTCCCCTAGATGAGGAAGCTAGTGAGGAATCGTCCGCTGACCTACCCCTTGAAATCTATAAGGATCTTGTAGATCTACAAACCTTGAGTGCATGATTGTTCCCGCACTCTGATGAGTCTAATAGCATAATAATAAAAGTGACCCTTTTTGTAATTTGATATTTTCTATTTTGTTATCACTTCTACCCTCAGTTATATATATGTGTAATTAGAACTCATATATTATGTAAGGGATTTGTAATAATTTGTTTTGTTGCATATAATTTTTATTATGCACTCGTAATCTGTTTCTGTATCTGACACCCTCATGCTTTAATTAGTATTTAGAATGTCACATATAGTATCAAAGCAGTTACACAGACCAAATCCCTTACAACTGAGGCCGCATGTTGAAAAACCCTTAAGATATTTAGAAAAATAAGTTATTTTTTCCAAATTAGACCACTGACTTGTGTTTTTATTTCTTTTGTAGGAATGACGCGATGGAGACCTTCCATAAAATGTACCAAAAGACCCGAGACTCAAGATTATCTAACTAGCATCAAATTTACTGAACTCTCCCGAGCTATCCAAGGATTGACCATCGCCGTAGGATAGAACTAAGCCAACCCTTGTCTATACCTTGTCCCGAAGTACCAAACAGCTGAGAGCTCCATCTTTCACAACATAACAGAGTTTAGGAAATTTAACCTACTATACTTTAAAAGTCACCCTAACCCCTTAGTAATCGAAGTTTGGGTCCTGCATATAGAGAAGCTTTTCTTTGCCTTAGACCTAATCGAGGACTAGAAAGTCCCCCTAGCAGCCTTTGTGCTGAACAGTGAAGTAGAACACTGGTGACAACTTAAGAAGGAAGTCCTGCCTACTTGTACCACATGGAGAGTTTTCATGGATGTGTTCTTTGATAACTTTTTTTTTAGCTTATGTATGAGAGAAGGAGGAGGAAGAATTTCAGGACCTCCACCAAGGAAATTTGATAGTTTCCCAATATGCAGCCTGGTTTATCCAACTGTCTAGGTTCGTCCCCCTAATGGTCATGCTTGAAAGTGGTAAAGTTAGCAAGTTTCTAAAAGGTATTGGTACCGATATTTATGACCAGGTTGCGATGTTGAGACTCAGCTCATTTGCATACGTGCTAGAATATACCCAGTTGGTCGAAGATGTCATCTCGGCTAGGCTCCAACGCATTGCCCGAGTCCGTACCCACAACATAACTCATAACCCAGAAGAGATGCCGACCAGTAGT